GCATTAATTGTTGTTGTTTCATCAAAGCTTGAAGCTTTTGTTTTTGGGATTACTGCTCCACTGATTTGCAAACTCTGTTCCTGGGTTGTTACTGTTGCTGGACTGTTGTTGTGCTGTATTGTTATTACTGCTGCTGATTCTCATCTTCATCTCTTTTGTTTCCAATACCAGGTACACAACTGACACACATGTTATTGTAATCCGAATATGAAGCATGAATACGAAAAATGAAGAATTGAAATTCTGAATTATATTTAATTATATTCTGAATTTTATTTGTATGTACAAATTATTTAGCTTGCAAAAATTAGAATCATGTAGCTATTTAATACATATAGTGAAACATCCGACGATAGTTTAACAGATAAACTATCGATTAAAATTAGATTGCTATGTTTTTTTTTAATTTGACAAACTGAGAACATGCCTAGTATAATGTAACTAGGTAATAACATGTAAATAAATTAAGATATTTTCTCTTTTATTTTGTAGAGACAAATTTCAAATAAAAAATGTAGGCATTTTAGGACTGACCTTTTTTAAAAATAAAATGAGATGAGCCTCGCCCAATAAAATGCACCAATTGCGGGGCCCTCGATAAATGTTTAATTGAGTATTTAGAATTCGGGATAGACTGTTTAGTGAATTCCACGGTCTTACCCATAAATAATAATACGCTAATCGCTTTAGTCACGATTTTAACAATAATACATTCTTAAGCACGGGTGCGCATTCACGCGACCCAAATCCAAATCCGAACAACTAACCGTAAATGACCAACGACGAACATCGAACGAACTCTAAACGAAACCAACGAAACTTGGGAGACGTCGAAGCGACAAACACCATTCGAGGTGAAAGATGAAGAAGTATGCATCAAGAAGAAAATCGGAACGCAGCAGCAGCGCCAGGCAGCAGCGGCAGCAAGGCGCGGACAGCAGCAACAACAAGGTGCGGACAACAGCAAAAATGCAGCAACAACTGTGGTGTGGCAGCAGCAAAAACGCAGCAACAGCTGTGGCGTGGCAGCAGCAAAAACGCAACAACAGCTGCTCGCAACGCCGTGATGTAGCAGAAAATGCAACCATGAGAGATCAACGAGCTTCATCAATGGCGGATAGGGATGGGACAGTTGGACGAAGAAGAAGTAGCAGCTATGGGAGCTGAAAAACGCAGCATGAAGTGAGGAAGAAGAAGCAACGACATTCAACGTAAACTTGAAAAAGAAGAAACCCTCGCGATCTTGAAGAGGAAGGAACACGGGCAGCAGGTGTATGTGTGTGTGTATGTGAAGGGGAAAGGGCAGCCATGGATGGGGTGTTTGGATGCTTGAAGAAGAAGAAGAAAAGAGAGAAAGAGAAAGGGGGGG